GTCCTGGCCACACCTCCGCTCTCTAACCCCCCTTCCCCTACCCACACCCCCTCCCCTACCCACTTTGATGCATTTTTCAAATTTCGCCTTGGGGCGGAGTTATCTTTTCACAGGGGGGTAAGTTACACTTTAAGTACAGTAACAAAGTATTTGTAGTTAGTTACTTCAAAACTCTGTCAGTGTGCATAAGAGGATGTATATAAACTCTGTTTCTATGCAGGAAATACCACGTAGAGCTCAGCTCTTGTTTGTCAGCAATGAGACGAGGGACGTGGCGTTTCATGTTTAGTCAAAGTCAAACAAGAAACATCAAAGTGAATTACAACCATACTCATGTGGCCCTCTGTGAAAATGAGTTTTGCACCCCTGCTCTAAAGTTTGATCTATGTGATCAAGTGTTACCTTAAAGTGGACCCAGTCCACGGCGTCCCGGACATCCTGGAACATGCTCTTGTAGGACATGAAGAGGTCGCCGTCTTTGAAACCAGTTTCACAGCTGGGGAAGGGGAGCAAAGAGACACACGTGCACAGCCGTCGGACAGGCCAAATCTTTAACAAAGTGTTTTTTTTTAAAATGACGTTACATTTGTTTTTGTTTTTCTGTTTGCTTTTAAATGGGATAGCCTTCCCTTGTTGGAGGGTCCCCAGCCAAACAGGAAAGCATTCTCCCCCTAAAAGACCAACAACCAAGTTTCAGAGGACAAAGGACATGCAACCATTCCAGATTACATTCTCAAAAAAAAAAAAAAGAATAAATAAATGAAGAAATTACAGGCTATTAATCCTCTTTACAGATGAATTTAGACAGTTACATTGAATTATTTCCATGTGTGGACAGTTAGTAAAGTTTTTAAATTCCGCCTCACTTTAATGAGAACACTTGAATTCTAATAAAAACATTAAATCCCATTTGATTACAACTTTAAAAGAATTAGCTGGAATTAGATGTTGAGACACCTGGAGATTCTCATGCTCTGCTTGTAAACGTGTCGGTGTCGTCATGCAGTACTCAGAAACTTGTGGCATGACACGGACGTAAAAACTGAAACTTTCTCACCTTGTGTATCTGTCACAGTTGGAAAAGAAATCCACGAGGCAAGCAAAAAGGTAGGTTTCTTAACGAGAAAGAACAGAGGAAGTTATGTGGATTATACTCTTTGTGGTGTTCACTTCTTTTATAAATTATAATTATAATTATAAAACAGTCTCACAGAGCCTACCTGGCAGGTTGAAGAGTGTGTTCAGGATATAAAAACGTTCTGTATCGTCCCTCTGAATGAACTTGTTTGGATATCTTTCACGAATTTCGGGGCTGGAAAAAAAAAAGAAGTTAAAAAAAAAACATAAAACATTTTTAGTTTCTTGTGCTTTTCTTGTCTGTAGTTCAGAGTGCAGAAGGAGAGAGCCCACTTACCCTCGAAGGAAGTTGAATCCGTGAACACAAACCAGGATATTACCGTAAGCATCAACCTTCAGTAAGTTTCCATACATGGTATCAAACACGAGGCCCCTGGAAGCAGGAGAACAAACTGTGCAAGTCGGAAACAGATAATAACGAGCAGCTTCTGTTTTACGTATTTGGGCGCCAAGCTTTTAAAACCTGCTCCTCTGCCTTTTTTTTTTTTAAAGATTCCAGCTAAAAAGGTCAAAGGAAGAACTGAGGGTCAAAAATGTTGAAAGAGTAAAGCAACAGTTGCAGCTGCTGCCCGTTAACAACCAGCGTTACCTGGTGGGAAATGATGGATCGTAGACGAAGCTGAGCAGCTCTTGGGGGTAACCGATGGAGACCAGGCGTTCCACGGTCAGTTCAAAGCCTAATGACTCGTACTCAGGTGACTTGTATACTGAAAGAGACAAAAAAAACATTTAAACTTATAAAAATGTCCAAACAAACTGTTTTTTTCACTCTGGAACAAGAATTACAAGATTGTTGTGAACTGCAGTGTCCATGTTTTGCTGCTGTATGGAATCATGTGTAGCTTGACTCTGTTTGCATTTGCAAGGAAAGGTGTGCATCGAAGTGTTTGTGAAAAAAACAAACTGTAATTGTTGAGCTGCAGAGTTACAGAACACAAGTCCACAAAGAAAGACGATCAGGTGCGAGGATGAGAAATCACTCAACCCTCATCAGCAGCTGTAAACAACCCTGTGGAGACAGACGACCCTTCTCCACGCTGTCACTGCYACTCAGTGATATTTACCCCCCCCACCACACACACACACACTCTGGAAACATAAACACAGACTGATGCTGGGCTAAGATCAGGCAGGCAGGAGATTAAAATGCTTTCTGAGACTGGAAAAAGAAGATGTCAGATGTTATAAATACACGTTAAAAGAATGAACGTGTTGCCTTGCAGTGGTGTGCAGCAGTGGGGGATTCGGGGGCACAGTGATTGATGGTTCTTAAGGGGGCAGTAACTGGGAGAACTGCATTGCAGGATAAACAGGAAAACATCTGCAGAAACAATGAATGCTGCATTTTACAGAGAAAAGAAAGAAATCAAACTTTCTAAGTTTGACACAAGTTCCAGGAAAACTGGTCCATCTTTGGGTGTAGGCTTGGCACCCTCACTCTGTAAACAACAGTTTGTTTCTGCATTATAATCACGTAGCCTCTTGTGGTTCACCCCTCGCTGTTTTCTCACAGCAAACTCAGGTTTTGGGCTCTCTGCCCGGAGCAGCAGCAGCAGAGTACAGCACCCCCCTCCCCTCCTTTGCTCACTTATATTCTTCTTGAAAAAAAATAATCTATTTTGGGAGGCGTTTCTCCTCTGTCACCTCAGCTATCATTATGTTCTCTGCATTTAGTTCAGAGGAGAGCTCTTTTACATGTTGTCCTCTGGATATTAGGTCACGACTCAGAATTATCTCATCTGCTGATGCTGTGATTAGACAACTTTTAAGACGATGTAAAACTTAAAGGGGAGGTGTTGTGTGTTTTTCAAGCATATAGTTCAATTCTATACCACAGTCAAGTAATTATGTTACCTTCAGGTGTTCTGAAAATGCTATATAAAGCAAAAATAAACTTGACTTTGCATTGTAGTTTATTTAAACGCCTTGAAATTGGCCTCGCAGTTTTAAGAACCTCTTACCGTTTCTAACACTCCCACTTCAGCACGTTTTCAAACAATGCTTTTGGGGGAGGGGTGCTTTGTGGAGTGGGAGCTCTGTTGCAACCTGAGCTCCAGGGAGGAGCTTTGTGCAAAAAGGCGGAGCTTTGTACCAGCAAGTGTTTTGTCAGGTCCACATGCCCACCACAGCAGTTCAAGGATTTCTCAAACATGCACTAATGAGTCAAAGCAGGTATGTTTTTGATGAGAGAATAACATAAAATAACATTTTTAAAAAGTTGATTTTGCATAATTCACCTTCTTTAAAACATTGCTCAGTAAAATTGTAAAGTGTCTTTGAGGGTTTCGAAAAGCGCTATACAAGACTAATGGATTATTACTATTATTACTGACTATTTAGTGCACCTGCAAAAATATACCTTTAAATAAATTGATATTAAAAACTTTTAAAACAAGGATTAACAACTTTTCCCCCTCATTAAATAATATAAAAAGTACAAAATGAAGCTTTATTACCACTCTAGTGTAGTTTGTTCCTAAAACATTTCTCAGTTGTTTTGGAATTATATAAAAAAAAAAAAAACAAGTTACTAGAATCACAAAGTGAATCACAAACTGAATCACTAATTGAATCACAAACTGAATCAGTAATTGAATCACAAACAATCACAAACTGAATTACAATCACAAACTGAATCACAAACTGAATCACAAACTGAATCACAAACTGAATCAGCAAAATAAAAGCTTGTGTTTGAAGCAAACTGTTGCTTGTTGTGTCCTTGACATTCTTTGATTTATGCTTTACTGGGGTCCTTGCTCTACTTGTAGTAAGCCCCTGCTCATATTTCTCATGCTGACATTGCGCACACACACACACACACGCACACGCACACACACCTACTTAGCACTACAGTAAGACATGGTTTTAGCTTGTGAAATATATCATCTTGAATCCCTGATGAAACCGTTGCCAGATCATTTTTTTCCTGCTGCTCCAGTTGCAGAGCGAAGTGATGTCTCTTCAGTTTCTGGGTGAGTTCACCCCAGGCGTGTCGCACACCCCAACAAGCAGAGTAAACAACCTGCACCCTTCTTTTAACAGAACACTTAAATCCAACAGCCTCATACCAGGAAACGTCATCTGAAGCATGACACAGAGTTAATTACAAAGGCAACAATACACATCTTTATTTAGCCGTTTCCACTACTGTGTGAAAAAACAAGAACACAACTAAGTCACAGATTTAGGACTTTATAAAGCATGTGGAAAAAATTTGTGACTTTAGCTACGCCTTAAGGGGGGCGACTTTTCAGCCAAAAGTATGTTGGAAAACTAGGACGGCAGCGTTATCTCTCAGTGAAATCTAGGCCTAAAAGCATGTCGAGCACCATTTTCTGCAGGCTATTCTGTGTTCCCTTTCAGAGCAGAGGAACAGATGAAGCAATGTTGACCTGCCTAATATTGATTTGGTTTGGAAAGACTTACAAAATATGTGATAGCTGCTGGCTGTTCACGGAGGGTTCACAGTTTTACAAACTCTGTGATGAGCAACCAGGGCGGAACAGAGTGAAACTCACAGACTAAAAACCTGAAAATCTGTTCAGTTTGTTTCTGTGAAACAGGATTTCTGAAAACAAGAGAATTAGCTTTTCATGGTTGTTAACTCTCAAATGTCAATTCAGCTTAATGACATGATCATTTGTAGAGAGGATCTCAGTATTAAACTTCACCAGTATTCATTGAGTTTTGTCTTTGTTTAATTTTGAAATGAAAAGCTGGTTATTCTTGTTTTTTAAGTCCCTCCATCCTCTGCCGCTCACCCACTGGGTCACGGGGGTCGATCCGTCAATTATTCTCCCGCTCCATCCTACCAGCACTCGGGAACAAGATGTTCAGACACTTGAACTCCTCCACCTGAGAGAAAAACTCATTCCTCATCCAGAGGAGGCCATTCCAGCCGTTTCTGCTCAGGCGGAGACCAAGCTGCGCCGAGAACGAGCTCGACTTTCTACCAAGGATGCTGATACAGCATCCAGGGACTGGCAGCCCGTGTGCGACACTTGTTGCACATGTGAACTTCCCCTAAACAAACACTGCCGACATCCAGGCCGCTGCGGTCGAGTGGCATCTATTTTGTGAAATTGACGAGGCACTTATGTAGTGAAAAGCTGAAAACCCAGCCAAAGGTACATGATAGCCCCACTTCTAGCAAACATTAACACTTGGTCATGATGAGCCATAAAATGATTCATGTCAACAGCTGAGAATCTGTAATATCTCCAGTTCTCCAAATGGGGACAGGAGGACAGGGGCAAATAAAAAAATAAAAAATAAAAAACAATCCTTTCCCCGGGGGARCTGCCTCTGCCGAACTCAACAAACAAATGTGACCTGATTCTCAAAGTCAGGGGATATTTATTTTTAGATTTAGAGTCCAAAAACTGGAGCTGAGTCACAGAAAAAGTGGCATGATATATCAGGATATGCTTGGCCCAGTTACTGGTTAGTAGGGAAATAAAGACTTCACAGTTGACTGAAAATGACTATCTTCACTTCCAAACATTAAAAAAAAGACAAAAGTGTTGCCAAAATAAAACTAAATAAGTTTGCTCATTGGGGAGGGGGGGGGGGTAGATGGGAGGAAAGTGTGGTATGAAAAGAAGACAACGTGTTCTGAACTTTTTAATATCTACAGTAAACATTCATTTACTCAACCTTTATTTACACACAAAGGAGAACCGAGTGATATTTTTCCATGGCAGTGATCATTTTACCCATTTTTTCCTTTTTCTTTCCAGTTTATTTCTAAATATATCTGTTAGTCTGGTTTATAAAAAAAAACACGTTTCTTTAGACAACACACAAAAACAGTTTGTACCGAAGGCGCCTGTGACTCGATATGTTTGTATTTAAAGTGCCTAAAACTAATGGTAGAATCTAAAAACGCTTCATCTACCAAATAAAAGGGTGTTGAATAAAAACTGGTAATTAAGTCAAAGAAAAAGAAAAAGCAATCCTGAAACCAAACATTGCTTAATGACAAATAATGCTTAGATTCTTCCTGACTGACCTTATTTTGCTTTTGGTAATTATTTAAATGTGAGTTAAACTTACCTGCTAAAGTGTAATCCATATCAAAGCCAAAGCACTTGATTTTCTCCATCGCCAAACTTCTATTGACAAAGATTCTGAAGAAAAAGTTTGGAAACAACATGTGAGTTAGAACAGATTTAATTTAATGAGGTTTCTTCTGTTAAAAAGACCAAAAATAAAGAAAAGATCTGAGGAATTAACTTAATTCATGATATTTTTCTTCCAATCAAAAATTAATGTGGCATTAAATTTGAAAACTTTTCCACCAGAGGCCACCTACCATGTGCCTTTGTTTACCTACTCTGACCAGTCTAATAGTTTGATCATGTGACCTAAGCTTCTGTCAGTTTCAGTGGATTCAGAAAAGTTATTTGTTTACACTGAGTGCGTGCCCGCTTTTCAGAAATGCTAATCAATACATGTGGAAGACTTACAAAGTATCAAATCTCACCTTTTGATATAGTTCAGCACAACTATTGTGTTTTATTTCATACTTTGGAATGAGCATGTTTTAAACATTTGTAAAAACTGATCTGTTTTAATGATTTTAAAAGCATTTTTTCAGGTGACTTTAGYGAGTCTTGTTGATCATAAAGACCACATGAGCAGCTATCAGTCCAAATAAGTTATGAAATATTAGCTGTTTATGAAAAAATAGCTGTAAATCTCTAAACTTTKATAATCAATTAAAAAAATACATAAATGTTGGCTTTCTTGTCCTGAGCCATCAAAATTTTATTCAGCAACTTAGGAGAAAAAAAAGGAATAAAGTCATGTTTTGTTGTATTTTGCAACCAATCTGCCATAGAATAAGAAAAAAACACCAAAGATTTCCACAAACATCACTCAGTATTGTAGTGAAACATTAGGTAACCATCATGAAACACATTGTTTACAGTAACTCGACTCACACAAAAGAGAGTTACACACGCTGCGCCTGCTGGCACGAACCTACACAACTTATCCAAAACAGCTGAATGTGGAACTGATAGATTTCCAGAGGTCAGGATTTCAAAATCGTACAAAATTCAACATTTCAACACAACCAGAGAGAAACCTGAAACTCCCCACAGAACAAAGACAGTTCAGTGAACTCCAGCCTCCATCTCTGAGTCATGAAATACCTGGCAGCTGATCCATAGTGAACAAGTTCCCATTTAGAGTCGAGTCCGGGACACGAGCGGCGGTACATCGTGTGTGACATGAACCCTCAGTGTGACTCTGCGTTGGTCCGATCTGCTCCAGAAACAACAGCACAGCTCTGGCCCACAGACAATGCCCCCCCCCCCCCCCCCCCCCCCTCCCTCTTTGCTTTCTTGTCATTCAGAAATTTTCTGACTTGTTGCAGAATTGATTGTGGCCGTTCTGCGTCATTCTCTGTTGTTGTGCGCGTGCGGTGGTGTGGTGGTTGTTGTCGCGCAGCGGGACGTTCGCGGGCCCTCAAAGACATCCAGAACAATCACAAGTCGGGCAGAACGAAGCTCGGAGCCGCAGCTGCTTCGCCACTCRGATCCCACTCGGGATCAGCGCCTCTGCGGCTGCAGCTGACCTTCATCCTCTGAATCAATCAATCGTCTGGACTCGAAACAATAAGAAAGCTTTAAAAACTTCTATTTTTTTTATTTGAATTCAACTCTTCAAAAC